TGATACCTCCTTTCATTCACTTTAGCGTATTACCTCCTCTACCCTACCTCACCCCAATTTGTCTTGTCTCTCCTGTTCCCCTTAAATCATGCTCATTTTCTGTGCTTCCATCTTCTACTTGATTGGATAGCCGCTGATAGTCACCTCTGGTCGGTACATTTTGGCAATGTCTATGAAAGTATCTCGAGAAAGACAGACCCATCGTCTTCCCCTTCACTATAATGGCTTCCGGCGCGACGGAGTGCAATTCTGAATCTGTCAAAGACAGTTTCTATGACGCTCTAGTTGCCCTTTTATAACGGGCTAAAAGCTCAGACATAGTCGTGGTTGCTGGTGGCAGGAACGCTCACACAGATGGACTAAGTGCTTCTGAGGCCCAGTTGGAGTGTCATCTTGAGTCGGACCCGAGACGCACGGACAACGGAGAGCACCTGCGAGAGATATGTGCTAATCATAGACTTCCTCTGTAGTACCAGTTTCCTGGACAGCGAAGTAGTCTAACTACGTGGTTTTCACCAGTGAGCTAGTCCCAAACCCAAATAGACCACGCTGTCATCGGATGCTAATCCCCAGAGTCCATCACAGCCTACCGTCCTTCTGAAATGCCTGTGTGAACTCTGACCATGCACTTATCCGTTGTTGCGTCTCATTGCGCAGTTCACTTGTACACAAAACGCCCATACCTAGCTTGGCCACTGAACGGCAAGCTTCGCTTACCGTCCACCATATGTACAACCGCTTTTTACAATGTTATCGTTGCTGTTCCAGCCATTAAACTGAAAAACGTGCCGGTATATTTGATTGAGAGCACTAATAGAAATGCGAAAAGATCCGTGATCAAGCATTCTGGACCACAAGGTAACAAAATAACCTAAAATTAAGCGCAAATTGCTTATAGGCTGAACGAAATCGACTGGTTCGTTGTCTATTTCTTGGGCTTAGCTCATGTGCGAATTGTAGGCTTCTCGCTTAGTTTTCTGCCACATTCGTGAGCTGCTTTCATGAACCGGGATTCTAGTCTTCAAAATATTATATTTTCATCCTGGCGGTTTCCACAGTGCCAATGCCAGGAATAGTCATATGACTGTTGTTCATCCACACTACTCCTCATTTCAGCGATCTGGGACACCTATAGAGCTCATTTGCTTTAGAAGACGACTCTAGAAGAAGGCTACAATTCCCTCTCTGATCATCTTATCCGAGATAAGTGCCGTTATCAACCTTGGTGTCCCCTGAATCATCTGCACTTCTAATCTAACCGGATCCACTAACGTGCTTATTTTAAGGGGACCTTCTCTTGTTGCAACTGAAGGAGCGCTCGAACAAATGGGGCCATAGTACGTTGATTCTCCGAAGTATAAACCATACAACTAGTAAATCCACCTTTCAGTAGTCAACACTGGCAACTTTCACTAGGAGCGAACTAAGTGAAATGACATAAACAACGGAACAAATGCCCAGTGTTTTCAGTGTATAAACAGATCAAATTTTGTATGCTCTCCTGTTTAGTCGCGTTCGTGTTCGTACACGTGAAGTCCAGTGGACTACATTTGCGTTTTCTTGTTTTTGAGAAAGAAAATTTATACCGCCAACCAATCCTGTCCACACGGCAGTTAGTGGTTGGGCCTCAGTTGGCTTGATCTTCAACTGCTATAGTTTTTCCTCAGTGACGCTGTCAGTACCGCGGCAGTTTGCTGCAACGCGTTTTTTGACCTGGTTAAACAATGCCTTGTGGCTCAATGTTAAGGCGTGGAGTACAATTGTCGAGTCTTATTTCCAGGTTGTGGGGCTTAGCAGTATTCCAGAGTGGAAAGTATGTTTGCTTCCGTACAGGAAACTACTCGTAAGGTTGTTCAAAACTCTTCGACAGCCCACAAATTCTTTCGCCCTTCTTGGGGCTCATCGGGTAGGCGCAGTCTTCGAAACACAAGGTGACTTTTGCTGAAGAACATGATAAACCAGAGGTTTGGCTCGGTTTCAGATGAGTCTCCCGTGAAAACAAAATTGATTTATCGAAAACAGTCCAATTTGGGTTCACTTAGAACATAACGTTGACGGAAACTCGGAGACTGCGCCTACCTGATGAGCCTGAAGCGGAAGGGCGAAACCGGTCGTAGGATGTCGAGGAGTTTTCAGCAACCTTGTGAGTAGTTTCCTTTATGAAGGTGTTTGATTTCTTTTTGTTCACTTATTAGTGTTCGCAGCTACCTACTATTTTTCCCGACTATTTTACTTCGAAATCCTATCATCTTGTTTCATAAATGCAGTCGATTCGATTATCCACATGAACGACACAGAAATCAAGAGAAACCATTGGATAGCCATTATATCAGACACCGAGATGACTCAGTGGTTAAGACGCGAATTTACTACCAGAGGGTCCGTAGTTTCAGCCCAACCCTGGTATTTCGACTACTCCTGTCTAGTCTTGGGTAACCTGGCAGTATCTCATCTCTCGTGTTTCCTTCGGGTTGCGTGGCACCTTGGCACCGAGAAGATGCTACCGCCAAACAATTCGATTAGATTGCCTCAGTGTTTCCGCACATTCTACTGTATACCTTTTGCCGTATATCGCTACGGGTCCCTCTTTCCCACACGTTTGCTGGCCAGAATAAGCAGTAAATAAGAAAGGAGGGTTACTTTGTTTGTTCTACCTGTGTTCTGTTATGTGGTCTAGCAGGGAATAACCTTGAAAATACCCGTTTAACGGACATTGAAAGCGATGTTGATTCGTGGGGGGCTTGTGAGCCTTTTTGCGTTAGTTCCACCAAATGTGAAGGAGTATTTGGCGGATAAAATGCATGTTGTTTTAGCCTCCGATTCGTTTTGCTTCCTATATTCAAATCGAGCTGCTTTTACTAAACTTGACCTTGAGATAAGCCGCACGCTCCTATCGATGCGTTCCCAGGATTTGCCACTCATAACCGGAGTTTTCCACGAAGCCAGATGACACGAGAATAAAGCGAGGATAAAGCGTTCACCAGAACCAGTAAACCAGTAAACCATTTGTATAGGCTTACAGCTGACAGGGATGGTGATACTCAAAGCACTTCACTGTTTCGTAGGCCGCTGACCATATATGCATAGCGTTTGCTGCCAATTCTTAACTTTGAGACCGATACAAGGATTGGGCACACCAATCACATCGCTCAAGTGTGAACGCGTTGGCCTGTTCAGACGTGAAATTCAGATGCGTCCAACGTGCGTTGGTGGAGCAGTGGTTACACGCTCGCCTCGCATGTCAGATCCCCGGGGTTCAAATCCCGGCACGGCCATTGGATATACACTGCTGATGAGCTCTAATAAGAGCGAAACTCGAGTCCAGTGCTTCCCTTTGGTATGGACTCACCGGAATAATTACGCCAGAGCAGGAGGGACGACCGTTCAAACGAGAGTGGTGTGGCCATGAACAAGATACAGGGATCAATGTGGAATTCTACCCATCTTAGTTCGCTGACGTCACTGGGGCCAGTAAGTGTATATCCAGCGCAAAAAAGAGGAAGATTCATTAGCAAATTAAGTTGGTGTTAGCGGGAGACTCAGCTGAATCTATCGTTTACGTTCTGCACAAAGGAATTTCTTATTTTTGGGTTGTTATGCTATTGTAGTCTACTTTCTTGATGCATTTAGTTGAGCCTCCAAACTGAGTTTGAAAATAAGTCTATTTCGTCAGTAGCCTGAAATTTTGGTTCAAGTAAAATTTAAAGTTGGGGAAGTCTCGGAGACTTCGGCTACTTGCTAAACCGCAAAAGGGCGGAACCGGTCGTGGGCTGTCAAACTTATGAGTAGTCTGTTCCATCAAGATGTAGCCCCTTTTTTCCAGAGTTCTCTCGTGAGCAGCATGCTAATACAATAGAAGTGTGCAGTGTGACCGTGTGACCCAGAGATAAATAGGGATGGCTTACACAGATTCTAACGCGAACGACCTTGACGCCAATCATGTTGGATCACTAGCTGACTCAGCTCTGGGATTGATCACTGACGGAAGCATCGATCGTGTGAACACACTGTAACAACAAGTAATTTCAACCTCAGCTGCACGACTAGCCGAACACATGACGCGCCGACGCCTGTACACACTTCATTTCCTGCCAGATTTGAGTTAATGTAGTATTTGACAATGCTTCAACCAGCCGACTACCCGTTCGTCAAGTTTGCCTCTCATCATCTGACCGTTCGTTATAGCATCGGCTGCCCCATTCTGCGGAAGTGGTAGTGCGACGACAAACAGAGAATTGCTGCAACCCTTAACAGCTTTTCGACTTCGGCCAGTTTACATGGTTGAGACCAGAAGTGCCTTCAGCCCATACGCACATGCAATACCTGCGAAAGGAAGAAGGCCTTCGCTGCGGAGTGGTTTGTTAGAAAACGCCAACTGAACAGTTACAGACTATTGGACAGGGAAGCAAAACTCTCGTGCATCTTGTTTACAAAAATTGAATATCCATCTTCTCTTTGAACGCGTCTTCCTGAACTTTCCTGGATATTCATTCACTGTTACTCAAATGCAAGCACATGCTACAAAGCGATTCCACAAATTCCGTAATAGATCTCACTTTTCAAGAAACGCGAAGCAGATTTACGAGCAAGCATACTACCCGCATGTCCCATCAGTAGTATCCACCGTTACACCTGCAACTCTGAGACGAATGTTGTGTGGGGCAAAGATAAAGCTGTTTTTAAGTTTCCGCAAAATTCAGCGTGTCATTCCTCGCAGCCTCTTGCCTTCGAAGTGTGTCGGATTTCCATAAAAGGCTCAAACTGGGTTAGACTCTTTTGCAAGGTCATCACGCGTCCAGATCACGCATTTGTGACTCGACAGTTTACTGGCCAATAAAACGGAAGATGAAGAAAAATGGTAGAACATGTCAAGTGATTCAAACATCACATGATCTAAGAGTCTTCAGTACCCTTTGAACCCTTGGAATTCCTCCCGATTGCATTGTTGCGTGTATTTTACACCACTTACCACAAATCAATTCTTTCGCTGTATTTTCCAGGCATTTATACATGAAAACAATATCATCCACCGGGACCTCACCACTCACAATTGTCTTGCACGACAAGTAAGTTGATTTAGCATCGTAATCTTGGAGAGGTTTCCGTAGAATTGAAAAAGACACTCCACAACTTATCTTTTGATTATTGGTCTACTAGATTATTCCTCCACTAAAGAAATACCTCTTGGGGTACTAAAACTTGATCCCAGTAGGGTTAGTGATGTTGCGGAGTATTGGCAGTTCGGATGGTTTATTTGCCGAGCACGGTGATTGGCTCACAAGCTTTTCATCGCCACTCTATGCATAACACGAATGCCCTTTTGAGTGAAACGGACGATGGTGCCAAAGCTTTTGCAAATCGATTCGTAAACTCAACGGAGAGGAGTCTTGATAGGGAGAACGACTGACTATCTGATTTGTTTTCCCTAGCTGGTAGCACATTAAACAACTGCGGTGCGCTCAAACCAGCAAACCGATTTCCAAAATTGTCGCCGTGGCGCGCGTATAACCAACGCTGAGTTACCGATTAATTCCACTGGTGTTCGGAAAAGTGTAGGCAAAGAGATAGTAACACTCATAAAACGTCCAATTTTGAGGTAGAACTTCAGATACACAATATGCAGTTGACAAGCAAGGAGCCGCTCAGAGTTCTCTGGGTTAGCAGAATATTGAATTGTAAAAAAGCAAAAGCAGATAAATGTTTTCGAGAAATACACATTTGCAAATCAATTTGTTTTTTACGAGAGACTCGACTGAATCTCTCGTTTATGATATTCCACAACTGAAAGTGCTGCACACAGGCCGCCTCATGTTCCAGTTGGCATGATATACGAGATATCGCAGTATATTTTCATAAGGTTGCTGAAAACTCTTCGACAGCCCATGACCAGTTTCGCCCTTCCGCTTCAGGCTCATCAGGTAGGCGCAGTCCCCGAATTTCCGTCTCATCCGAAACGAGCCAAACCTCTAGTTTATCATGTTCTTCAGCAAAAGTCACCTTATGTTTCGAAGACTGTGCCTACCTGATGAGCCCCAAGAAGGGCGAAACCGGTCGTGGGCTGTCGAAGAGTTTTCAGCAACCTTGTCAGTAGTTTCAGATAAATGTTGTTGTCTAATCACTTACTACGATGTTCGTTGGATTTATCTAGTTGAAACTTTTCCTTCTACAACTGTTCATTTGCTTGTAGGACGGTTCGGTCGTCGTTTCGGATTTCGGTCTTTCAAAAATCATCCAACCTGACCCTCCCTATGATTGGTCGCTTGAGCAAGCCAAGCACAAGATGAATCAAATGCACTTATCAGATGAAGAGGAGACTGAAACAAACAAGAATTTAGAGATGACAGATTCTGGTTCTAACCTGAGCAACGGTCGGCGAAGACCAGTTCGTCCCAGGTGCCATACTGTGGTAAGTAAACCCAGCGAACCTGTCCCGATGCCTGGTTACACACCATTAAGAACAGACCCCTTACCTATGGTTCCCACTAACCTAGGTAGAATCGGCGGGACGTTTCTACAATCCCCGTGACTTAAAACTAGACCAGTGTTACTAATCGCCCGCCTGACCCAAAGAGCTAAAAGTTGCCCATCAATCAACTAAACTACTGGTCCTCTCCTTTTTATAATTAAGGCTTTTCGAAGTTGAAAAACACTGCGATCCTCAATATACGTTATCATGATCAAAAGGGGTACCTGGACTCTTCTGAGTGGTATTTCTTTGTCGGGAACTTTGCGAGACAGGTCGTGGCCGAAGATAAACGTTATCCAGGGAAGTGACCTTTCTTGAAATTACTAGATATTTGGCATGACCAAGATTGTCAGAAACGGCGTAATGATGTCAGTTAGTTTTGATAAATGAACTTCGCGTTTAGACAAAGTAGTTGCTGGGATCACTTGGTGCGGACTTTCAATGGTGCTGAAAGGTTGTTCGAGAAACGCCGTTTCTAGATGTTGAAGCGCATATTCATGTCTTTTCTGTCTTTAAGCCTCAGCGCTTGAAAGACGTGTTTAAGATGCCTGCAAGTCTGGTGGTTACGCGGACTATAGGCATCTCGCCTGATACCTCGAATACAACGTATCCTACATTGTGGTTTGAGGTTCTGTGTTCGAACGTTGTCTCAATGTCTCAATGTCACAATGGCTTGTTTGCCCTTTAGGATAATGTGGAACACACTGCCATCTGTCGTCTGTTGATCGAGTGAGATGCCTGCCCTTTTTGGTTCACTAAGCTTCCCATCTTTAGCGAAACGGGATTTCTCGTTGATGAGTTTAGATTGAGGGGTCCAATATGTAAGCGCGCTCACCACGCTAGTAATAACAGCTCCAAATCCCTTTTACATCCGTCTGTCAAAGTCACAGGATCCAAACTGAACGACTCTCAGATCCGTTCTATACCGTGTTATTGTACCAAATTTAATGTGAAGACGATGAAACGAGGAAGAATTTGAGATTTTCGGAAACGTGGACTGTCCACCGGTAACCGGTATCAGCGGATACTGAATCATGGTTGGCTGTTCGGTCCGCAATGTCGGCCATTCGGAGCTCACCCTGACGCTGGATCTGCAAGCGGACCAATCACGTGTGGGTTAGGCGTCTTGGCCACAGCAGTGCCTAATTGCAAGCTGTAAGGCTGTTTCGGTGCAGGATTCCGCCTAAGAGCTTTCTCTCTCAAGTTTTTGTTTTACGTCTTTTCTAAAATACCGCATCATCCCATCTCAATCAATTGATGGGAACAGAACAGATTACAACATTTGGTCACTCTTGTTTTGTTATCTTTGTCTTCGTCAGACAAACTAATAGAATAGCATGTAGGATTTGGGTATCGCGATATCCGTTTTTTAACTGTTCTTCACTGTTAAACAAAAATCCCAATGCATAATCAGACAATAAAGCTGCTGTTTTCGTTGTTGACGATTTTTTCGGCGCTAAGGAACTGGAGCGGGACAGCAGTCGGATATAACAGTTTTTGTGCCGTTTTTATTATGCAGAGACGGAATTCTGTTCCACGTCTAGTCCTCGATCTCGAGGCTAGTGTTTTGGTGCAATCATTGCAGTTTGCGCATTTCATTTCGTGTGTCATTTGGTGGCTGATAAACTCGGTCCGCGCATGGCTGTGCATTGAGTTTTTGACGCTCCTTTTGGGGGAAACAGATTCATTGTCTCTTGTGACTCTGGTACCGAAACACAATGGTGATGAACTATCTCTGTCGCTTCAGTAGCGACTGTAAAACATGTATAGCGAAGCCTAATACACTACTCACAAGGCTGCTGAAAACTCTGACAGCCTACGACCATTTTGCCCTTCCTGGGGCCCATCAGGTAGGCGCAGTCCCCGAGTTTCCATCAACCTTATGTTCTATTTGAACCCAAATAGGACGTTCTGACAAATACACTCACTTGCATGCCGATTTGCCTTTGACGGTAGACTCACCTGGAACCCAGCTGAGTCTCTCGTTTATGAAGCTCTTCTCAACTGAATGTGTCGAACTGGGCCATTTCATATTTCATTTGGTACGATATTCAAGTAGAACATAAGATTGACTGAAACCCATGTACTGCATTTGCTTGATGAGTCCCAAGAAGAGTGAAACCGGTTTTAGGTTGTCGAAAAGTTTTCAGCAAGCTTATGAGCAGTGTATTATGCTCATACAACCTATTGCGGTATCTTGAATATAGTACCAACTGATGCAGTACATTCAGTTGCTTACGAACGTCACCACACGCTAGGGAGCAATTTATAGGCTAATGAAAGCTATATCTACCTGTGCACTGAAATATATTTCAACATAACGTGCATATTTATTTAAGGAGCAATCGTCTCCCAAGGGAAGCCCTCTTGGCCCGGGGCCGGTGCTTTGGCAAGTGTCCACGAGAGCCTTCCCCGTCAAACTCGACAAATCTTGCAATCCTTCCCGCAGAAGAGTCATCCCTACTAGCAATGTTGTGGAATGTAGGTAGGTGCGCCGTTTGGTTGTTGGTCTGTTCGCCGAGCTTGGCAGTTGGATTGAAAACGTTTCATCACCAATCGAGGTGACATTGACACTGCAGTGACGATGTCATCTCGATTGGTGATGGAACGTTTGCAATCCAACTGCCAAGTTCGGCGAACAGATCAACAACCAAACAGTCATCCCTACTTCCCAGTTGCGGTATTTATTTATTTACACGAAACCATGGGCCAGGCGTCCCCAAGATTGGTGCATGCTGCCACCCCCCCCCCTATTCGACTCAAAATCTGAACTCAACAGAATCAACAGAAGCGGATTCACCAAAGTTTGAGCTTTGTTATTGCAAGTAAACGACTAAAGCAAGGTCGTGAAGCTTAGGTCTGCATCATCTTTCCCACGCAAAACCGACAAAATGATGCGAAGTAGGAAAATGATCACTTTTGCCTGTATCGCATCCCCGGTGACAGTTAGTCTCGATCCTACAAGTTCTCACAAGGTGGCAGTCCGAGGAATAGATTCACTGCTGTCAGTTGATTGGTGGAATTCAGTTGCTGCTTGTGGCTCGTCACAGGCTACAGCGCTATTGGTCAGCCTCACACAGAAGACTGCAACACAAGAACTATTAAACTTGGTTCTTCATGCAGTTCAAGGATAAAGCTTTGAGGTCATGGGTGCGTCTGAAACCAATATAGCTTGGTTCTTCACATGTGGACGGGGATCCTGGAAACAAGGATCAATAGGCTAGGGATAGTTGTTCTTCAAAGCCCGTAGATTTTATTTTTCACTATCCCGTACCCGAGTTATCACTTGTTTCGAATCAGTTCATTCAAAGCTTCACCACGTGTACGTCATTTCTTCCATTAATTTTGAAGGTAGGAAGTCCATTCTCGATGGCGCCTGAAATGTTGGCTGGAAAACCGTATGATCAATCGGTGGACGTCTACTCTTTTGGAGTCATCATATGTCAATTGTTGGCCTTATGCGATTCTGATCCGGATCACATACCTCGCTGTTCTGATACCCTGTGTGTAGATGTAAATGCCTTTATGGCAACTCATTCGGATATTTTGAAAGATGGACCACCGGTGCTGATCAATGCTGCAAGGCAGTGCCTATCGTTCCAGCCGGCCGACAGGTGAGCATTCATTCAGTTGTCAATAAATCTGTCTGACATTATGTTGCTACTCGATCTGGAGGATGACGTCAGATTTTTTGTTGCATCTGAGTTTACGGTGATCGGCTAATAAAATGGCTAAAAGTAACACCATCTTTGTAATGCACTACTCATAAGGTTGCTGAAAATCCGTCGACAGCCCACGGCCGGTTTCGCCCCTCTTGGAGCTAATCAGGTGGGCACAGTCCCCGAGTTTCCGTCAACCGTATGTTATACTTGAAACCAAATTGCACAAAATTAGCGAATATACACCCAATTGCAAACTAATTTGGTTTTTCGAGAGACTCACCTGGAACCCAGCTGAATCTCTCGTTTATGACATTTCCAGGCACATCGCCTTATCAAGGAAAACCGGTCAGAGAAGACCCGAATAAAATAATCATTAAGCACAGAGGTTAGTAGGATCAACACCCCGTCGGGCGTGGAACTGTCAGATTTCGTAAGGGGGGTTATTAATTTCAATCCTGATTTTCATAAAGGACACTACTCACAAGGTTGCTGAAAACTCTTTGACAGCCCAAAGAGTTTTGAGCAACCTTGTGAGTAGTTTCCTTTATGAAAATATACTGCGATATCTTGAATATCGTGCCAACTGAATCATGAGGCGGCCTGTGTGCAGCACATTCAGCTGGAGGACATCATAAACGAGAGATTCAACTGAGTCTCCCGTGAAAGCCAAATCGATTTGCAAATGAATGTATTTTCAATCTTGATTATTCATGCCGCTGTGCAGAAATCGTAGCACGGCATGTGTGCTGTCCTACGTTCTCCAGCGTCAAAAGCATAGCAGCCGTTCCTTCGTCGAACTCTTGGAACTGTCAGAAAGACGCGCCGATGAATACCAAACTCATACTTGCTATACGGGTTTGCCAATGGCATCAGACTTTTCAGCTGATAAAAAACATTCTGGAAACATTCGAAAAATCCGCTAGACCTCTCAAGCTTCACCAAATTAAAAAGACCACAGTGCTGTCCAGGATGCCCATACCTAGTCTTAGCTCAAACCAGGGGTCATAGAATCGGTGTTTTGTACCTTCTCAGATAAGTAAATAATAAATAAATAATAGTTAATTAATTATGTAAATGAATAAAAATAAATCGTTATTCATAGCTTATATCCCTCAAGTGTCACATGAGAAGGCCCAACGAAATCGCGTAATCTGAGAAGACGATCAGTCGAAGTGTATGATGGTGTGTTTGAATGCTTTATCGAAGTAGTTCAACAATGTGAACTATCGGATAGCTGCTCAACTCCCTGTAGGGACATGCAATTTATTCCCATATGCATACTGATGGCGAAATACGCATTTTTACTGTATTAGGAGAACCAGCTCCGAACGTAACGGGACTACATAACTGCCAATGGAATGACCGTTTTCGTTGAGACAGGTTTTATTGGTTGTTCTCCACTCGCCCTTGACAGTTGAGTTTTATTCTTAGTATCACGTTTGACCGCTTGTACGCG